TAATTCAGATGTAATAATAATTTGATTTGTTGGACTTGAAAATATGCAATATGTTTTAATTATTCTTGATAAAAGAGAGGATTATCTCGTTCTGTTAGCGCAATATATTACTGGTGATCTTTTAAAATCTTGCAAATTTTGGAAAATAAAGAAATGCTTCACACAATCATTTAGGATAGAGACCTATGGAAGCAGGCCATTCCCAGACTGAATTCGGTAGACTGTGGTCTGCAAACACTGGAAACAATTCAGAGAAGCCGAAATCATCAACATAAGACAAGGCCGGAAAATATCCGCCACAATCAAAAAAAAATCGGTTTCTCTGGCTGCTAAGCACAATTTGGGATGGCAGCAACTTATCTCTTCAATGAGTTTTCGTGTACTTCTAAAATTACAGTTCCAAGAAAACTGTTTATCGAAGGTTTCAGGAAGATGGTCTTTATGCAAGCCGACCAATGGTATGTATCCCTCTCAAACCTTCTAACAGTAAAGGATTCTTGCCACTTAGCTTCAATGTAGAGCTTCAGCTTGCTATCGACGTGCAACGTACAGGATTCCTGCCAGTTAGCTTCAATGTAGAGCTTTAACTTGCTATCGACGTGCAGCGTACAGGATTCCTGCCAGTTAGCTTCAATGTAGAGCTTTAACTTGCTATCGACGTGCAACGTACAGGATTCCTGCCAGTTAGCTTCAATGTAGAGCTTTAACTTGCTATCGACGTGCAACGTACAGGATTCCTGCCAGTTAGCTTCAATGTAGAGCTTTAACTTGCTATCGACGTGCAGCGTACAGGATTCCTGCCAGTTAGCTTCAATGTAGAGCTTCAGCTTGCTATAGACGTGCAACTTGAAGGATTCCTGCCAGTTAGCTTCAATGTAGAGCTTCAGCTTTCTATAGACGTGCAACTTGAAGGATTCCTGCCAGTTGGCTTCAATGTAGAGCTTCAGCTTGCTATAGACGTGCAACTTGAAGGATTCCTGCCAGTTAGCTTCAATGTAGAGCTTCAGCTTTCTATAGACGTGCAACTTGAAGGATTCCTGCCAGTTAGCTTTAATGTAGAGCTTCAGCTTGCTATAGACGTGCAACTTGAAGGATTCCTGCCAGTTGGCTTCAATGTAGAGCTTCAGCTTGCTATCGACGTGCAACTTGAAGGATTCCTGCCAGTTAGATTTAATGTAGAGCTTCAGCTTGCTATAGACGTGCAACTTGAAGGATTCCTGCCAGTTAGCTTCAATGTAGAGCTTCAGCTTGCTATCGACGTGCAACTTGAAGGATTCCTGCCAGTTAGCTTCAATGTAGAGCTTCAGCTTGCTATAGACGTGCAACTTGAATGATTCCTGCCAGTTAGCTTCAATGTAGAGCTTCAGCTTTCTATAGACGTGCAACTTGAAGGATTCCTGCCAGTTAGCTTCAATGTAGAGCTTCAGCTTTCTATAGACGTGCAACTTGAAGGATTCCTGCCAGCTAGTTTCATTTTAAAGCTTCAACTGTTATCGACGTGCAAGGTAAACGATTTTGATAAAGTTTTTTTTTTTTATATTTTATTTTTTTTTTATTTTATGCAAACTTATTGACGGACATATCTCCTAATGCGGTACTCTTGCAGCCTGGGGCGGACATCGGCGGCAGGTGGGCCGGGGAAACCCTTGTTGCACCCCGGGGTGAAGGCCTGCCTGGTCGATGTTGACAGAAATCAATTGGATTCCGCGGAGGACCCAAGGTCACAGCGGCATGAACGACGGGCCCATTCCGCTAACAGGTCCCGTCCCGCGCTTACACGGAATTTTGCCGAGTTAGTCGAACCAAAGTTATAGTACACAAGCCGTTATTGCCACCTGGTAGAAGTTCTGTTACTGCTTATTATTGGCAGTACATCACATTTCGACACATGGGAGAGCAGTCTAAATTTGCACTTACAAGATGAAGTCCCGTTTAGTTCATTTGCACTCATTGGTGGGTTTGGATTTATGCAGGAATTGGGGACCATTGAAATAATTTGCAATTTAGAAGGAAAAAAACGAGAGTTTCGAACCCCGGTTTATTCTTAATATATTCTTACAACACATAGAGGAACGAAACAGCCCTCACATTTGTATACTACCAAGTCCTTTCGTCTTCGCCCGCCCATACAGTACATTAGAAGACTATAAGAAAAGAAGGAACTTGCAGCTTAGTAAAGCCAATTCCAGAAACGGCCCATAGTGTTGGTCTAACGAACACAGCAGGGCAACACTCTAGAAATTCCTAATATAAACATAAACCCGGACTTTGGGACTCTACACTTTGATCTTGGCCAAAAGGCGATTTACAATGAAGAGATAGATTCCTCATCAACCAAGACTGAAGCCTGCAACTTCCAGCTCGGCAAAATACGTGAACATAACCAAAGTCACCTAACAGAATACCATATATAAAATATATTAAAATATCATACTTATACCTTAAATCTCATAAGTGCGCTTCAGTTTACCGATTAGAATAAACTTTTTGCTTAATCTTATTAAATATTTTCGCTTTTGAGCTTTATATAAAACCACGGGACAATGCTTACCAATATACCCATAGAATACACCATATATTATAGAGTATATATATCCCTTCTCACAAATATTCACTCAACACAAGAATAACCTTATAAAAATGAGGAAGATTTTAAGCCGGAGTAAAAGCAAATTTTATGCTATTGCTCTTTTGTAATAAACTATTGTAGAAAAGAATGCTCGGCCTTAAAATATATTTTATTTTGTCGACGTTTCAACAAACCTTTGTCCTCGCAAGGATAAAATGAAGTATAAATACCCAGCAAGAGGATGTAAAAAAACGTTACATGTTTATAAATATCCAGGAAGGCTGTAAAAAAATGTATATATTTATAGTTTATCTTCAAGAAAACAAAATATCTTCGCCGAAATTTTGATGGAATAAATCCAACGTTTCAGGACGAAGGATAATTTTTTTGAAGAAGAAGAAGAGAAGAAAATATCTCGACCAGGTATAACCTTTATCTTCAAGAAAAAAACATACTGTGACAATCTAGACTCTTATAGTGGCGAATACATTCCAAATGCATTTGAGCTTTAAATTTCGATGGAATAAAACCAAATTTTAGGACGAAGGATCATTTTTCTGAAGAAAGAGAAGAAAATATCGACCAGGTATAACCTTTATCTTAAAAAAAAAAATAATGTGACAATCTAAACTCTTTGTAGTAGCGAATGCATCTCAAATGCATTTGAGCTTTGGATTTCGATGGAATAAAACCAAATTTTCTGGACGAAGGATCATTTTTCTAAAGAAAATATCGACCAGGTAACCTTCATCTTCAAGAAGAAAAAAATAGACTGACAATCTCGGCTCTTCATGCAAATGCAACGCATCCTAAATGCATTTGAGATTTGGACTTGGATACATCGCCTGAAGGTCCCATGAACTAGAGGCAAGCCAATTCTCGAACGATTTTAGTCCGAGATTTCAAGCACCAAACACATTTACTTATTTGTGACACACTAGATGATTGAGTCGGGAAGACCTTTACTCTAGGAAAGATGTAAGATAGTTTGAGATGAGGACGTCCAAGAACTGGATGTTATCAAGGAGACAACAGGATGTTCACTTCAATACCTAAAGAAGATGAAGGGAGCCATGAGATCACCACATGACTTGATGGGCAATAATTATTGAATGACTTTGTTCTGACTATATCATCTACATCTGAAATGGACTTCATGGAGTGTTTATTATAAGAAACTCTGAGAATCCTGTTCCAAAAGAACTTTATTAGGTACCGCTCAAAAAGAGAAACTTAGCTTATGTTATTTACAATTAAAAATAAAGAAGGCATTTCCTGACCACGAGCACATGTGCTTTTTTGGATGGCAGAGCGCCATCTAGTGGAGCAAAAATAAACTAAACGTTTATTTAACTTGCTCCGTGATATTTGGCCAAACCAATTTCTTGATAAATCAAGAAAAGCCATCCACAAAAAAAAAGCACATGTGCTCGTGGTCAGGAAATGCCTTTTTATTTTTAATATCAACACCTGACCCACTTATCTTTTATTTTTCTATTGTTTTTTCAATAAATAATATATACAGGTTCTTCACATATAAAAAAAGTGTCCAATACAGGATTCGATCCTGGTTCATGGATGTCGGGAATCGACGGCTTATACCGCCGGCTACCGACTTTTTTTAATTCTCAGAATATCCTGGCAGAGAGCAGATATGTACAACTATTTGGTTGAAATCGTTCTTTTTTTTTTTCTGGTAAGAAAACAGAACAGAGAATCCTTTTATTAAGTGAACAGTATAAGTACGAGGCATATATGTACGTCAAAATTCGTACATTTCCTTAATACAATTTACCAGGTACAATAAAACCCCAAAGTTACACGAAAGGTACAACAAATTCGAATACTGAGAGGGACAAAAAAAACCCTATCGCATATAATTTTTTGTCTCTTTTTAGCATTATAAAGTTAGTCTAAAGTTTTCTCGTTTATAGATCGATAATAAAAGATACACATTACCAGTCCAGGGGTTAGATTATAGGAAAATCATTTAGCTTATCTAAAAAATCGATTTTAAAAAAAGTCCTGTTTATTCTATAATGTCATAGTAGTGGGGTTGAGAGAGTCATTCAAATTAAATAAATAAAGAATTAAGAATTCATTGATAAAATAAGAGTGTTTAATCCCCCCTTCACCCCTGTTGAAAATTTTATTTACAATCAAAACTATTAATAAGCAAGAAGATTCATATAGAAGCAAATTAAATTAATTAAATGCCGAATATATTAATCTGTTTCTATTTATTAATTTATAATACAATATAAAGCGGCTTATGATTGTAAAACGACCTTTGAAAATTATCCCGCAAATGTTTCTTTTGAACGAAAAATCGAAATTTATTTTAAAGAGAAATAACGATTCTTTCTAACCTTAGGGATAAAGTATGAAAGGATGAATTGTGAAGAGTAATGATAAACGGAAAAAAATAAAGTGTCCAGGGATGGGAATCGAACCCACAGTGTTCCGCTTACCGGGCAGATGCCATGTCCACTATTCTCTATGACAATATACACTCAGGTAAAAATGTATTCGGAGGGAAAAACCCCGGTCATTTCGTCTCAGAGCCTATATAATGGCTAATTCAGAGATTCTATGTGTGTGGACGACATGACCCGGGTATATCTGGACACCCAACCATCACACCATTTATCTGCCATTTTTAAATAAATGGAAGATTAGATAAAGTTCCATAAAAAAACTAGTTTCTCTTCTTTTTTTAAAATTATCTTTGAGGACTGATAACCAATAAAAATGCCACGGATTCTCATTTTGAAAAAAAGAAAGCGAATAAAAATGATAATTTTTGTTATATAAATGACAGTAATGATCATATATACATATGGTGTCGGAAAGAAATTTTTATTAAAAACCATAACGGCGGTCTGTAATGAGACATTGATGTGTGAATAATCATATTGTATCAAATTTTATAAACAGATTATTGATTTTTTTTTCTACTCTGTAAACTTCTCTCATTGCCTCTCTGGTAATTTTATACACTCATGGGGACAAACAAAACTCAAGGAAGTTGTACCTTTTAACATGTATATCGGGATTTAGACAATAACTCTGAAAGATATTTGATATACTGTTACCATTATTGAATACACACGAGATAACTAAGTGTGAATAAAATTGCCTCTGTCTCCTTCTAAAAACAGACGACATCAAAGATTTTCCGCTTCTTCAAGTTTTGTCCATGAGTGTAAGTTTCAATTTGTTTTTGACATTAAATGAATAGCCTAGTCATTCTGAAGTTTGTCTTTCCTAATTTTCTACATGACATTTTGGTCGGGATGTTGGGTAGATTAGGGAAGACAATTTGAAGAATGCCGAGCAGACATTAAGGCCATGGTTTCTGTGGACTACATTTTTCCGCGACTGACTCCAGGATTCCTTTTCTAAGCCAAGAAAATGTCTCTATAGACGATACAACGACAAAGTCGCTCTTCACGCCGCAAGAAAATCTACTAGGGACAAATTTCCAAGTCTCCGAAAGGAATCCTTGACAGAAACACGTCAGATCCCATGTCAGTAGAAGCAAGATTTGCAAGCTGTGGGCCATAGCTTCCATAGGGAAAAGAAACATGTAACAAAATATTTATTAACAGTTTATTAATTTCCAGATATTTACATATTGCTACATTGTAAACTTCCTTCCATTGCCTCTATGATATTTGATAAGTTTTAATTGGTTTGGCATTAAATCAATTGGAGTGTCATTCTGAGAGGTTTGTCTTTCGTAAAATTACGACGTGGCATACTCGTCCTAAATCCCACTAATACACACAAGGAATCATATCCTCACATAATCATTTGATAAGTACAACAATGTCATTTGTTTGAATTTTCGAAAATATAAGCGAAGAAAATGGTTGACCGCTACATAGAATCAGAGAGTTATTGTAGAAAGGTTGGAACCAATATACGCTGCTCTTGTCGGATTTGTGATCGTTCATTAGTACATAAGACGAAGGATTTTTGTGGTCGCTAAAAACGTGGTCGTTATAAAGAGATACATGAAATAGTTATAAAAGAGCGTGGTAGTGTCATTATACCATGTATACCACTGAGAGGGTTCACTACTGATAAGCCAGGCCCTCCTATTATAAGATTGTCCCAAAAGTTCATGTTTTTCTTATTACTTGGTGAATAATATTATTACAGCGCGAATATATAATACAATTACTTTATACATAATACAAAGACTTTATACATATATAAAATTTAATTTCCTTTGTAAATATATTTTGGATTTCATTAAGAAAAATGGTCTTTGATGTAACGATCTCAAGGAAATATTGGACATATTATATGGTTGTAAACAATATATAGGTGTATGCGTGTATATGTGTGTATATATGTATATATTTTTAAATTTAATTATTCTCTTGATCCAAGAACCTTATGTTTTACACAACAAGATCATGTACGATATGGATTCACAGATATTGTGCTCGAATAGGATAGAAGAAAAATACACGGCAATTATTGTGTTAAATAAAAAGCTAAAATGCTCCATGGTAGAAAATTTCACTAATTCTTTTTGTACAACAATGATTTTATCTACTTTTAAAGAAAACATAATTATCTCAAATTTCTATATTCATCCTAATTCACTAAACAATTATCATCTGAATTTTATGAGCAGATTATTTGAAACCTATAAAAACCAACCAGTAGTACTCTGTGGCGACTTTAATTCTCGTCACCCATTATGGTTCGACAAAGTAACTAACTCTAATGGATTTAAATTAAAACCAATTATAGATGAAAACAATCTCTATATACATAATCTGAAAACGCCTACCTGTCGCGAAACTAGTATAATCGATCTTACTATTTCCAATAAGCAATCATTAAGCTTAATAAATAACTGGCAAACTTCAGAACTAACAAATATTTCGGACCATGTTGCTATAAAATTCGAAATAAAAAAAACAAAAAACGAATACTCATTCAATAATCAAAAATCCACATGGAAATTCAAAGAAAAAGATGCTGATTGGTCTCGATTTTCTCATAATATATCTTTAACAGAAATAATAAGACTTAAAAGCAAATTGGAAAGAGTTAATTCAGATTTAGATATTGATATGATAGTAAATGGACTTACAAACCTTTTAACAGAAGCTGCCTTTAAATCTTTGGAAGTTATATCCTCCGACTCTAAATATTATTCTAGAAATAACTGGTGGAATAATGAATTGAAAAAAATGAAAGATCATTTTCACTACATAAGAAACTTATATTATCGCCACGGAGCAATCAGTTATAACACATTCAAGTTGACTAGGAATCGATACACTAATGCAATTGATAAAGCAAAGAAAATTAACTGGCGATATCTTATAGAAGAAAATTATACAAACAATCCATTTGGTAACGCATATAAATTTTTTAATAAATTAAGAACACCAGATAAACAAAGGGGAATACCCTTAATTGACAATGCCCCAGAACACCTAAAAGAACGATCAATGAGCAATTTGTTAAATGAGTTGGTACCAGATGATAATTTTGATACGGATGATTCTTACCATCAACTAATTAGAAATCACAAACTAAAAATGATTAACACGAATAAGGTCTTTGTTGAGGGAGGGGAAATAGTGAACCTAATATCTAACATAGACATTAAAAAAGCTCCTGGGGTAGACAGTATAAGTAATAACATGATCAAAAATGCCCTTCCAAAAATTTTACCATTATTATGCGATTTATTTAATAAATGCATTCACTTCGGATACTATCCAGTTAGATGGAAAGAGGCAGCTCTCAGAATAATTCCAAAACCTCACAAAACGAATTTAGAATTAGTAAAGAGTTATCGACCTATTTCATTAATTTCTAACTTATCAAAAATATTTGAAAAAATTTTGAAAAATAAAATATACGAATACTATGAAAATAATGATCTCCTTAGCCCCAGACAACATGGGTTCTTGAAGAATAAGTCAACAATTACCTGTTTGAAAGAAATCACAAAGATCATAATGGAACATAGACAGAAACAACTAGTTACGCTGATTGCAATTGATATACAAGGAGCATTTGATAATACATGGTGGCCAGCCTTGTTTAAAAAATTAGACGAAGACAATTTACCAGTTGAATTGATCAAAATTTTACGTTCTTTTTTGAAAAATAGAAAAACGATTTTCAAGTATAATAATATGAAAGTTTCAAAAATATTAACAAAGGGCTGTCCTCAGGGTGGACCATTGTCTCCGTTGTTATGGCTGATATATTTAAATGATCTGCTAATTAATTTGCAATCACCAAACTCTGAAATCATTTGCTATGCTGATGATGTAACAATTATATGTTGGGATAATGAGCTAACAAATCTAAAAAAGTCGATTGAGTTTAATTTGGAAAAGATAGATCAATGGTGTAATGATAATAAGCTAAATATCAATCTTGATAAAACTAGTATTTTACACTTGCACAATAAAGACAAAATATCAATTAATTTTAGAGACAATATTATTGTGCCCGTAGAAGAAATTAAAATTCTTGGAATTACGATTGCGAATCACAGAAGGAAAAACAAATTGAATTTTGGCCCTCACCTTAACATTATACTAAACAAAACTCAAAGATTAAAAAATCTTCTTTTTTCAATTTGTGGAAAATCTTGGGGTCTTAGCATCCAAAAAAGGCTTACACTTTATAAATCTATAATAAGACCAACGTTAACTTACGGAACAGAAATATGGTTTGAATTTATTAGCAAAAAATATATGTACAAACTGAACTCAATGCAATATCAAATTCTGCTATGGTGTACCCAAACATATAAAACAACCAGTTATAACTGTGTTCACACCTTAGCCAATATTCCTTTGATCACTGATTATATGGAATCTAGAATTATAGGTTATGAGTTGAATAATTTATCAACAGAAGATAAACAATTTTATGATTTGTATATTCCAGGTATACTCAAAGATTTCATTATATCAAGGATTAATTTACTGAAAAAGAATACTAATCAAACATTTCAAAGTTTCTTTCCTTATGATATTCCGAAATATTTTCGACCAAACTATTATAATTCACAATTTATCACAGATCATGGAAATTTCAGGTTTTTTCTTAAGAAAATTCAGGCTGTGCAAGATTCGACATGTTTCTGCGGATTGGGGGAACAAACTTCAATACATCTCTTGCTGGAGTGCCCTGTCTTTCAAGAGTACAGAGTCAACAACGGTTTAATTGCTTTAGGCCCTAGTGAATTAATTTCAAGTAAGGACACATATATAAAATTTAATTTCCTTTGTAAATATATTTTGGGCTTCATTAAGAAAAATGGTCTTTGATGTAACGATCTCATGGAAATATTGGACATATTATATGGTTGTAAACAATATATAGGTGTATGCGTGTATATGTGTGTACATATGTATATGTTTTTTTTTTAATTTAATGATGTAACTGTAAATAAAATTCAAAAATATCTCTATATGTAAATAACATTTTTGAATCTTTCTAAGTCGCT